GAAGTTGCAGTGGCTTCATTCATTATGGAACATGTGTCACAATCCCACTGACCAGGCTTCTTGGTAAACTGAGCACCAAACCCAATGCTGGATGAACTACTTACTGGTTTCACTGTCGCTGCAGTATCTTCTGAAGATATCTTTGGAGACAACTTTTTAGTTATCTGCAAATTGTCAGCAGTGGCTGATTCAGTGCTAGTCCCAAACTTGAATGATGTAGGTATTTGAGGAAATGATCCAAACCCCAATGATGCAGAATTCGAGCCTGAAGTTTTCTGAAAGTGTTCACCAAACTGAAAAGTAAAAGCCCCCAAAGCAGGTATGGGAGCTACAAACCCTTTAACATCAGCAGACTTCATTTGTTTTTGGTCTTGTCCTGTAGACATCCGAGCCTGGTCAAACTTGCCTTTGAATAGGGCTGCTTCTTCAACAGTTTTAAAACGGATGGCTAGCTGCTCCGGCTTTGGTATCTCATCTGCATAATCGACTGCATGCCAAACCCAGGATCTGTCGGAGCCAGCATTCAGCTTGAGCTCCATGTCCTCAGTAATGTAGTGGTTGGCACAGATCTTCAGCACTTGGTCTCTCCTCATTAGGAGGCGGACCTTGCTTGATGTCTTGTGCCTCAGTATTTTGACACTGCCAATGCCCCTCTCTTTCCACTCCTTACTGTCACTTTCAAAGCGGAAGAGTTTGGCTCTGCTACAGAATATTTCCTCTTCCTCCTCTTCTCCAGTTTTTACATCCACTTTATCTGGAAGAGGAATGATAGGCTCAAAGTGAGGGCCATCCTCATCCTCTTCTACTCGAGTACTGTCATTGTCACTTTCCATACCCTTTTCATCCCGCTGCTTTCTGTTTGCCTTGTCCACTCTATCCATCACTTTAGACATACCTGTGAAAGTGAATGGCTTTTCTTTCTCAACAAATATGCTCTGGTTACTTGGACCCTGTGTGGCACTGGTAGGTGAAATCCCAGAGGAATCTTTACAGCCAAAACTAAAGATCACACTATGGCCAGGTGTCTGGTCTTCATTAGGACGCTTCTCCCCTAGAAATCCTTCAGTTCCTATATGCATATCAGAGGTCAAAGGCCTCAGAATTTCATTGTTTTTTGCCTGAGCAGATGAGAAGGTAAAATCTCCATCATTTGATTTGAAATTTGAATTGAACTTGAATGCAGCTGCTGTGGTAGACTGGGTTATTACTCCAGCTCTGAGAGGCACAGCTGGGCTTGGCTGGCCAAAACCAAGGTCTGGGAATTTTTCTTCCTCACATTTCAGTGGTTGTGACTGTGGCCTTGACTTGGTGAAATAACCAGGCTCAGGCAGAGTGGGATTAGTAGTGGATTGAGAAACAGCATGGCTATAGTAGTCCTCGCCATAGGGGGAGAGAAGGCTAGGTGCTGGCTGATCAAAGTGCAAAGGAGCACCATACAGCTGGTCATGGGGATAAATGCGCGGCTGGGGGGGGAGACTGTTCATCCGATACACTGGAGCCTAGAAAGAGAAGGGTCACGTTAAGAGTCCATTTTAAATCAAGCAGTAAAACTGCACATGATGACAGAATATTATGCATTGTGTGAATACAATGGGCTTTATAGTAATACATCACATATTTACTTTTGTAACTGTTATTCCAATAACTGATAAAACATATACACATTTTACATTACTTTAAAAAGAAAAAACACACACCTTAGTTGGGGTTACATTGGTAGCTGTACGAAGGAGGTACTGAGAATCATAAGCAGGAGGCTGACTGCAATACCCAGAAAGACCAGTTGTAGCCACTATAAGGAGAAAGAGTGTTATACCTCTGACAAATTATCCAAGACAATACCGTCAAAAACAAAAAGTTAATTTCCACATAAATACCATCAAATAGGATTAGGGTTAAACAGGAAAAAACCCATTTATCCAGAACAGGGGTGCAGAGGGAAATCGATATGTACAGACGCTCCTCTACTTACGAACTTTCGACTTACGAACTTTCAGACATACGAATGAAAAGGACTAAGTCCAAATGGTGTTCATTGGGCTCCCGTTTCCTATCTGCAACATCAATTTTTTCTTTCTGCGCGCCAATTCCGCCTAGTACGACTTCTGGCCGATACTCCCGCCGTGCAGCAGCGTAACGTGCGTACTCCTAGCATCCTAGTTTTGTACTTGCATATACCCTTAAAATGTTGTTGAATAACAAACATTTCAAGTTACAAATGGCCATTCGGAACGCATCTCATTCGTAAGTAGAGGAGTGTCTGTATATGTAATATGTCGATAATTCTTTGAGCATTTATCATTCATCAAAACAGCAGCAAACGAGTATTTATTAATTTGGAACTTTAAGAAATATTGTGTCAGTATTCTGAGGAGCCGTAGCCATAAAAATAGAAACGTAATGATCCACTACCCTCTGAAGAAGAGACCTAAATATAGGTGATTAAGAGAAAAAAAGATTAAAAGGGAAAAAAAAAGCAGGGAAAAAGAACAGCCTTAGTGAATTACCTGTGAGGGGGGCACCGTGCAGATTCTGGGCCGGTGAAAAAGACTCCCCATGGGATTCCACCGTGTGGGCCTCCCCAGGAGCCCGAGGGTTGGCAGACGCCATGGATCCAGACCAGTTGTGTAGCTCATTCTGTGTACAAATCAGAGACGAGCTCGACATCTGACAACTTCTCTCCCACCTGGAGGACACAGGCTGCACCATGCAACACAACGGGCATGAGCAAATGATGCCCACTAAGTTCTGCCCGCAGGCTAACCCTAACCGCCCAGAAGGGGCAGAAAACGTGCCACATGGAAGGCACTAAACCTGCAGGAAGGCCCAGAGACTGATACATCCAAGACAACATTCGTAAGTAAATTCCAAATGGCATGCCAACCGTTAGGGCCTCCATTTCTTGGAACAACATCTGGAACATAGACGTCTGGTCCTCAGCCCACTGAGGGGGGGTCTTAGGTGAGAACTAGAAAACAGAGCGAGAGAGCAGATGCTGGGGTAGGGTTCAGTGAAGCTTGGTGAGAGATTAAGGATGTTACTGCATCTTGATACGTCCAACATACCACAAGCCTTTTTGAGGGTGAAGCCACACTCTTGGCTGGCAAGGACCTGGAGCTCAGTGAAGAGGGATCAGAGGGCTCCGGCAGCACAAAGATGGGACCAGTGCCAGGCTGCTCCTGACAGCCAGCCTCATCTTCCAGGGCCCCTGTGCCCTCCCCCAGCTGCTGCCTGACCTCACTCAGCCAATCCATGAGTTCCTCCATTGAAATTGGCAGCTGCACCTACAGTGTTCAGTTATTGCACACACATATATTTGCCATTATTTAAGCACTGAGAAAAGCACATCAGATACAGGTTCAATAAATGTCAGCATGGCAAAATATCAGGGTTCAGAGCATGGATTTGTAATCTAAGGGTTGAATCCCTGCTTGTGTCCAAGAGGTACTCATCCTAATCAGCATCACATCACAAGGGTGTAGGAACGGCAAGCCTCACCTTCTCAAGATCGGCAGCATCGGCTTGGCACACCTTGGTTAAACACTTCCATATCTTCCGAAGATATTCAGCTTTTTCTGAACTGTTAGCCGCTTCTTCAGAACACCTTCGAAAGATCTGCAAAGAGTATCCCTCATGATGGTAAACACACTTAGGTGAGAGGCATGGGTCTATGCAAAAGGCAGCCGTGCCCAACACACCTGTGCCAGATGCCAGAATGCAGAAATGGTCTTGGCGTCTTCCAGGATAGAGATTGCGTGCTCTGTGTTTCCCTTGATATCCTGGAGCACCGCAAAGACTGTTTCTGCCTCGTTTTCATACCCGACAACAGACGATACCTGGGGGAGGAACAGCTTCAAAATCAGTATCATACAAAGGAATAATTTTTCAGGCAATTTGGGAAGACATCTAAATTTACCTGAATATCTTTATCACGAACGTGTGGAAACAAGGGCTTGAGTGGTATAGGAATACTCCGGTTTGCCTTAATGTCCTGAAGCAAGGGCTTCACAACAGCCCAGTAGTGCACACTACGACCAATATAAGCCCTCTTGTCACAGGACCTCAGGCTGTGACCCTGGGAAACAGGTGGAAGAGGTCGTATCAGCACAGGTCAGTTTCTAGCAATAAATTTCATGCCATTAAAACCTTAAGAAATCCAATGCTCATCTGGGCACAGGCCAGTAAAAATACCCACCTCTGATTGGTCAATAACATTCCAATTTGATTTTATATTTAGCTCTGTCTACAGGCAAAGAAACCAGAGGGACAGTCCCACAGTGAGAGCGTTCTAAATTACACTTCTGAGATGCAATCGTAAAACACACGTCTCCGGTGCTGCTAGGGAAGAGCAGAGGCAGAAGTACCATGTAACTGAGGTGTTGTGCCCAGCATATGAGCAGCGCCGGCTGCAGACCGTGTAGCTTTCCTATCCCCTTCAGGGTGTCCAGCCCACACTGGATGGTCTTCTGCACCCTCGCCGTGTTCGACATCCTAGAGAACCACCCACACAATTCATTTGGTGAGAACAGGGGCTTCAATTTTGAGGTCTTTTCATTACAAAAAAAGTTGAGCTCAGCACCAGAAGGGCTTTGAAAACATTAAATAAAATTTAATAAAAAGCCTCCATTCCTGCAACACCTTACTATCTCCTATCATGTGTCTCAGTAGCATGGTAAAATCTAAACACTGTTCTCCATCACTGTATCTTGACTGCTCTCTACTGTAGACACTATTAGCAACTGATAAGCTGGAAAGCTTTGGCCACCTGGGCTACAGGAACTCACGTCACTTTTCGGTTGATGAAACAGCAAGCGTCGTCCCACCATTCACTCTGTCTCTCTGTGGCTAACTGCCCTATGATCTGCAAGGGCAAACAGCAAGGTGGCAGGACACCGTGGCCTGCCTGCAGCAACGGGCTGGTGAACACTACGCCACACAGGAACACCTAGAACAGAGATTCAGGAAGGCTCTTCAGTAAGACTCCTATCTTGGATTAGAAACAGAATTCTGGTTATATTGTATGTTCTATGCCTGGAATGTGGGTTTAATCCAAAACAAGCACTTCAACTTAAAAATTTTATTTTGGAGTAAACTGTACCACTGGCAAGAGTGATAATTCATGTGAAAAAGTTAATCCATTAGATGATTAACTACCCTGCAATGAAGTAACGTGTTATCCCTGTGCAACGACATGAGTCTGGTGACAAATGGAAGTGAAGGAAAAAATAAATAAATAAAACACCACCGTGCAGTTGTCACATGGGCTAAGAATACTGATAACATCCAGCAGCATTAACACAGACAGTGTTTCATCTGTGCCATGTTTCTGACATCCGCGGGCAACTGTGCAGGCGGATTTTTGAGCAAATGGCGAGCGTTCAGAGCCTCCAGAGACAGGTGCAGTTTGGTAACTTGCGATTAATTAAGTCCTGCAGTACTGCATCAACATGGAGTCACACACAAACAGCATGTTTTATAAAAGTTCCTCAGCTGCATCAACCTACTCAAATGTAATGGTCATAGTTACATGGTTCAGGACAGTTTTATCAGGGAATCGAGACAAAAATAAGCCAGGACAGTATGGAGGATGGTCAGGCAGCAGGCAGAAAGCAGCCATCTTTGAAATGAGTGATCCATTACAAACCCTATTGTAATTAAGATATGAATACCATAATTAAGATTACACATGATATTTACATAACAATGACCAAATAGGAAACAAGATCATTCACTGTTTTTCCACTGACTGACCAAATAAGCAGATTTTAACAAGCATGTGATTAAGTAATGCAGTTGCCACAGAATGGCAGTGAGTGGGGTGAAGAAAAAAATTTCAAAGAAGTCAAATTTCCAGTGAGTTTCACAGACCTTTAACTGCAAGAAAAGGGCATGAGATGAAAAACGGGGGAAGCATTACCTCGAGGTCAAGCAGACAGATGGATTCAGTGGCATTACTGTCTAGTTTGAAGGTTTCCTGGATGTGGCGCGGAAACAGTTTTTTGAGCCAGGCCCCAAAACAAGGTCTGCGGCCCAAGTGCACCAACTGCAGGCCCAGCCAGGTCAGCTGCTGCAGGCTCTCTCCACACAGCAAGACTGCATCTAAAAGACAAATAATTTTCATTAAGCAGCCAATACAATTCCTCAGTTAGATTTCAGTTTAAAGTATAAAAATGTAAATCAGTTGATAGACTCCTCCCCCCCTTTTTAAATTAATTATTCTTTTTAACCGATCTCATTGCACTGCCAATGACAGACCATTAGTTGACATCTTACCACTGTCCAGCTTCTCAAGGTCGCTTATCTCTGGCATCTTTGTGCTCACACCATGGATGTTGTCATTGGCGATGAAAGACTGGGGAGCAGGACACTGAGAGCCAAAGAGGTCCTCAAACAGAAGCTTCTTTCCAGGCTCATTGCAAAGGTTCTCCACAATCTCCTTGAAGCATTCACCCTGCTGGGCCAGGCTCAGAAGCATGTGCCCTGACTGGCTTTTGCGATCACTGGCCAGGAGATCCAACAGCCGGCTGGCAGCTGGCTCCCCTTTAGAAGGTCGGCTCTTCGGTCTGGGAATCTGGGGCAGGAGGATGCGGCTCACGTCACAATGACTCAGTTTCTCGGAGTCTTCTTAATGTGTGGTTTGAAAACAGAAGAAATATGCCACCTGATGGGCTCACCTGATAGGCTAAAAGGTAGCATAATGATGCCAACTGTACTCCAGGCTTCTTCTGATACTCCCTGTTGTGCACCATCTTCAGGAAGAACGTTCCAGCATACAGGTATAGGTGACCTCTGAGCTCGGAGACCAACTCGGTAAGCCCGTTTGCAGTATTTCCTGATGCCATCTTCACAGACTGCATGGCTTGGTCGAAACTGCAGACATGGCAGAAAACTTCACAAACAGAAAATGGTTCATCTTGGCCATTACAGTAAACAATGTACTACACCAAAACACCATATTTTCCAAGAGAATTCCCACCTAAACTTAAAATCAGAAGACTTTCTACTATTAACTTGGTTGGATAAAGGAATAGAATAGAGAATATGTCCATTCCCACCAGAGGAACTAGAGGTGCTGATCGAGACCTATTTGATTGATTGAATATCGGGCACATGTGACCGGTCCACGTCCAATACCTATTTAGTTTTTGGCAGTCTCTAAAAGAATAGCTCCTATTTCGTGTTAAACATATTTGTACAATCAATCACACTACAGCTCTTTCCCATTTTAGATTATAGACTGAATTCTGAATGTTTTTCGTGCCATTCAGGTTGAATATAATGCTGCCGCTCTTTTTTGCTACTTAGTGGGTTTGAGCACGATGACTTCCGTCTGCTGTGATGTCATGCGCATACCCTTCGCAGTACAAGGTGCGCAAGAACATCAGAGGGTGGCAATCTGGAAGTATTTTACACTTTTAACAGCAACTAGTAGCACAGAAATTTGCAATCTTTGTCTAAACAAAGTTTTGAGAGCTGGGAGCAGGAAAATCCCCCTAAACGTGCACACAACCGCACAAGATAACACGAGTAATATGAAAACAGCAATGGATGATTTGGAATTCATTCGCTTGGGCAGTTTTGTGCACTCACTGCAGGAGGGGCTGCTATAGCAATGAAGTGCAAGTGATACTGTTGCCAGTGGGAGAAAAAATGTGGGGCATTTTAAGCATTCGCCACTTGCATATGCTCGAAAGATTCAAACTGAACTGCAAAAACGCTTAAAACAAGATATACTAATGAGGTGGAACAGTACATTATGCATGTTTCTAGTAGCCTAATTAAAGTTTTTTGGCACACATTTTTCTATATTTACTACTTTAAAAATATTAAATATGCATATATTAATATGTATATGCATGTATAAAATATGTATAATATATATTTATTATACTGTAATATTAAAGTAAAAAAAGCTCTTGTGTTGGAATCTGTATGTGCATCAGGATCAGATTGGAACTGAAAAAATGTGGATCAGCCCATTCCTAGATGGAACATTTTTCAGAAAACAGGAACTTCTGTCATGTTCCCACCACAAAACTCGTTACATCGCGTTTTATTCAATGGAAAACAATTCTCCTTCATCCTCCACTATTTCGGTTTTAGGGGTATAGTTATGAAATGTGATGTGTATTAAATGCAAAGTTTAACCTATGAACCTTTATAATTTAGAATAAAGGTCACAGCTCCTGTTGAGCAGTGTGAAGGAAACACATGAAAATGGCCAGGAGCTACAAAAATTCCCAATCAGGACAGCCTATGAACTCTGAACCAGGAACTAGGTTCCTGGACCTTGGTGGCAAAGCACCTATCTCCTCATAATTGCACTTATTGATCTGCCCAGTAGGGGTCCTACCTTTGCAAGGCTTTCACACTTTGCTCCACCCCTGGCTCAAACAGAGTCTGTCTCAGCAAGTTGCAGTGGGCCAAGAGCAACTCCCTTCTTAGCATGGAACACAAACTGTGATTGGACAGCACACTAGGCTGGGTCAAGTACTCCTGCAAGAGAGAAAGCGGGACCGCCCTGTCATTAAACCGCACACTCCCAATCTGCCTGTTTACTGTACATGAGGCAAGGCAAAAACAGCACACCTGAATTGTCTGTGTGACCGTGGAGTACCAGTCCAGGCTGTATCGCATGTCCCTTTTCTTCTCCACAGCAAGGCAGTGGTCAACTGCTTCCTTTAACTGCCCGTCAGAACAGTACAGCTGCACCAGCTTCACGTTGATGTAGGGGTCACTTGGACACACCTTCAGCTGAGACTTCAGCAGGTCAAACAGCTGGTTCCTGCCTCGCTGCCCCTGTGCACTGAGCAGCTTCTCCTGCAGCAGTTAAGACATACTGAGGATGAGCAGGAGTAATATGATGATCCTCATTATCATTTAGGGGACTGCAAGTCTGTTTAAACAAAGCCACCTTCAGCTTGAAGACAATAGGATGGTTTGGAAGAAGCTTGGCTGCCTTGTCCACCCAGAAGTCTGCCCTGCTGTCTGTCTCTGGCAAGTTGCAGAGCAGCTCAGCCACCCTGAGAACGACATCCTTTTGTCTTGGGTCCAGATCCACAGAGCGCTGTAGGATGGCAGGCTGGTTTATACAGAGCACTTCTCCAAAACATGAGCATGACAAGAGAGCAAACACGGCACTGAGGTCATATCTCAACTTCTGATAAAAGTTCTAAACTCAGTTCATTTTGCAATGGAGCTAGAATGTCAAAGTTGTGTGTGAATAGTCTTTGCTTCTTGGAGTACACACTGCCACCCCACCCCACACCTACCCACAAAGACAGGCAGACAGACCTTGTAGCAGCCCACAGCCTTGTTCACATCTCTTTCCTTCTCAAAGATCAGCCCCAACAGTCTGTGTGCCTTCGGGTCTCTCTCCTTAACTCCCAGGTAGGCTGACACATGTCTAAAGAGAGATTGGATTGTGTGTAAAACGGCAGTATCAGGAGGCTCGATTAGCACCTGTATGGAGCCTCACCTCTTAGCCTGCTCGTGTTCACCGTTCTGGAGAAATTTTTTGGCTAAGAAGAAGCACTTCTCCGGCGCCTGTAAATCGGAAACACTCAAAAAGTGATACAGGATACATACGCACAGCAAGCACTCCTGATGAGTATCAAAAATCATTCTAAAGCTTCTGTCTTGTTAATAAGCGGACAACCAAGAAACATCCCAGCTGGACACGCGAGTACCACGTTCATAAAAATTTAAATAAGTTCACCGTACTGAAGAGTGGCGTCTAGGCAGCCAGCTACAAAAAGCGTCCCGGTATGTCGCCTGTGACACTGAGTCGGGGCTTTCATATGAACGCGCCTGGTAACAACTGGCCGGGTGCTGAGGGCCGGGCCTGCTACTATCGGGCACTCCAAGTCGTTTTCGCTCACCTCCTTCATCGCAGGGGACGCACTTTGCACTGAGTATAGGAAGCGGTCCGCGTCAACTCCGTTTTGCTGCATTGGTCCGGACGGGCAATTTTGAGTTCTACGCTTTTAAACCTTTTTATTTGCTGAAACACGCACTGACACCAGCCGCCGGAAGGAGGCCCCTTCTGCCGCGTCGTATTACAACGCTCCTCGCGGGTTCACGTCACAACACTAAGCCGGCACGTGGTTAGCAGTGAGCTTCCCATTGGCTGATCGGAGGAGCTTCTTTCAAGTCTGTCCATTCTCCGTTTATTCTAGTGTGGTAATAACGGTGTTTGTAGGTAAATATCGCTGAAATCTTATGTGTAAATAATCACCCTATTCTTTCTACGTTTAATTAAATATTTTAATATCTATATATATTTTTATCGTCTTAAAAATGTATACGTAACAGAAGTGTAATTACGCTTGTTTAATTAATGGTTCGCGCTTTCCCAGGAAGAATATTGTTTTGAAATTTGAAGTCCTTCGGTGTTAGCCAGTTCGTAAAAGACGCACAGCTGTGTAGAAGTGTATGGAGGGGTAGAAGTGGAGTAAGTGTACGTAGGAAGTATCCACAAGAGGGCAGTGGATTGGTTTGTTTACACAACAGAACAGTATTATCTTTATGGCGTAGTACATGTACAACATGTACAGTATAACCCTTAATAGTGAACCAAAGTGCAGTAGTGCAATCATATATTCTTTTTAGTAGCATTAAATGTAACAGTGCAGATGAAAAAAACAAAAGCAGCAATCGTGATTAAAAATGAATAGCACTGTAAACATGAGCAACACTGTAAATCGTAAAGGTTTTGGGGGGGCAGGTTGGCAGATGGGTGCATGCAGAATGCTCATGGGCGTGTAGTGAGTTGACATTTGAGTTCGTTGTTCCTTGCCTGGTTAAGATGATTGGTGGTTTTGGGGCAGAAAGTATTCCAGGGTCTGGAAGTGTGGATGTAAATATTCTAGTCCTGTCTCAAACGATTATTCTTTAAACAATTAATCTAGCGATTATTTTTCCGATTGTTACTAATCTAACTAATTTTTCGATTGATCTGATGATAAATTTATTGATAATTATTTTCAAGTTAGTCATTTAACACAATTCACTCCCCCCGCACACACACACAAATCTGAAATTCTCATTAACATTTCAAATTTATTAAAACATTTCTTTAGAGCATTATTAACAAAAAAAATTCAGATTCAATAGGATTTCTATGTTAGACTGAAGTTAATAATCACTGCAATAGTTTTTACTTAATTATTTCAGTACACCAATTTGACATGCAAAAACATGGAATGATTTCATAACTAGAGAAACACGTTTTTAACAAACAATAACAAAGGTAGCTTATAGTTAAGCTTACTTCAGTGAGCAAGGAACGATTTAGTTTACAGTGTGTAAGAGTAGTCGTAAACGATCATTTTTTAAGTAAGCAGGAAATATAATACGTCTAAAACAACGTCATTAACGTCAGCTACAGTAGAGGTGCAGAAAAGGTGTCATGAGTGAAGTATTCCCAAACGTTGGAAGACCGCGTGCGAGCCTTTTTTGCCGCGTATTTCTCCAGACGCTCCAGAGCTCTGCTGCTAGACGCAGCCATGTTGCCTCGTGCGCGGGGGGCGGGGCGAATGGCAAATTTCCTTTTTTCTGGGTTGTATTAATATTTATGAGAGAAGTGCTACATGATTGGCCAATATGCCTTACAAAATACAGTGGTACCTCAGTTCTCGAACTCATTAGAACTCGAATTTCTTAAAAGTCGAACCAACCAGTTCAAAAAAAAAATTACTGATCTGAATCACAGAAGTCAAACTGTGTGTTTAGTACAGTATATGCTCTTCTTGTTTTATCCGGTTCATTTTGTGTTTAAATGCTAAAAAAACATATTTAGATGTAATTTTTTGGGGGGCCGGGAAAAAGTTAATTGGTTTTTCATTATTTCTTATGGGGAAAATTCGATCAGAACTCGAACTTTTTAGGATTCGATCCGGAGTTCTGAACAGATTAAGTTCGAGTTCTGAGGTAATACTGTAGTGTGGCACAATTGGCACTGGCGATATTAGACAAAATTATATCGGAATTCAGTCTATAATTGATATAGTTTTAACGGTGCCAGCAGTGAAACAACTAGCCAGCTTATAAGCGGAATAACTTTGTATTGTAAATGAAAACCATGCCGCAGTTCCAATAAATAAAATATTGTAGCTCTCGAGTGGCGAAGAGATCAGTAGGCGAGCTGTGTGAAGGTGGCCCCCCTACAATTGGCACAAATAAAAATTCCATCGTATTTGATTAGTGCTAGGTTTGTGCCTGTTTGTGCCGCAAAAATTAAGATTTATGCTGCTTTCATTTCAAAGATAATAGCTATTATTTTTTCCAGATGATTACATAACCCAGCCCGGCGTTCGGACGTGAAACTGGGCTTGTTCGCTAGTGCTGCTTTTGTGCTCGTTTGTGCTGCAAAAATCAGTGTTCTACTTCTTTTACTTTTTGAGATATTAAAGGTTTTTTGTAAAGGTCAAACGTTCAACCAGCCCCCCTACAAAGGCATTTGGACGTGAAATCAGACTCATTCGTTAGTGCTGCGTTTGTGCTCATCTGTGCCACAAAAATCAGTGTTCTATCTCTTTTACTTTAAAGGTTTTTTAAAGGTTTTTGTAAAGGTCAAAAGTTCAACCAGCCCCCCTACAAAGGCGTTTGGACGTGAAACCAGGCTCATTCGTAAGTGTTGCGTTTCTGCTCGTCTGTGCCACAAAAATCGCTGTCCTATCTGTTATAGTTTTTGAGATATTACTGATTATTTACACAGGTCACCAAAAGTTCATCCAGTGTTCAGATGTAAGACTGGGCTGGTTCGTTTGTGCCCGTTTGTGCCGCAAAAAGTATAATTTGTGCTGCTTTTATTTAAAAGATATTACAATATTAATATCCAGCTCATTCTCATATATTTTGTACCTGATGGGAACACCTCTCTTGAAAACCCACGTACACAGATATTTCTTTTTGAACCAGTTGGCATCATTCATTATATGAGTCCAAGCACCAGGGCGTAAGATCTCATAAAGGTGGCCTTCAATATATCTGCTGTCCTTACAGCCATAAGTCACAGGTTCTGGGACAATTTGTTGCCACTCATCAGGCAAAATGAGAACGTCAAATTTTCGGTGTCCTCCTGTTCCTCACTGCTGTGGGCTGAGCTGGAGCTGGTCTGTGTTACATGCAGGGCTTTCTGATGAGGTTCCTGTTTTATGCATACAATTTCCAAATCAAAGTGCTGCCACAAATTATGTCCATTTGTTTTCACTAATATGTAAAGAGCCTTGGAGGACATAACATCATTCCGGTTTTGGCTAAGCTCTCTCCACATTGAGTATGATGGCATAGCAATTTTACCATCCTTCACAATTTGAGACCTTTAATTGTCTAAACTAAGAATTATTTTAATAACCTCTTCTTTTGGAACCTTTGGTACTCTAGGCATCTGTAAAACAATATACAGTATGTATGTTGTGAGCAATGATAAGAAGACAAATGCAAATAAACCCTTACCAAAAAAAAGTATACTTAAAGTTAATTTTATTATATATACTTCTTGGGACTAAATTGGCCCACTTTTAGTTTATATTTTAAGTGTATTTATTTAGTAATATTAATTATTTGTATTTTTATACCTGAAATTGCTGCAAACAGCACAGTAGCGATATGACTACATGTAGATTACACTAACAAAAAGTTGCAAAGCATACTTAGAGATAGTTTTTTCTCTTAGTCAATCAAAATATTGTTTTGAATGCCAAAATTAAAGATTTTAAATATATTTTTAATTTTAGATTAAAAATACATGTCAGTTTAAGCCAGGTATACTTAAGTCAGACTTTGTTTAGTATATCTTGGTTAAGTACATAAGAAGTTTACTGATACTTACTATTTTTTTAGTTTAGAAAAATTATACTTATCGTACACTTAAATATATATAAATGTTTCACATCCATACACTGTTCCAGGGGAGCTGGATGCAGCTATTATAGCTATTATCTTTAAAACGAAGCAGCACATCTTATTTTTTGCAGCACAAATTGGCACAAGCGCAGCACTAACGAATGAGCCCAGTTTCACATCCGAACGCCTTTGTAGGGGGGCTGGTTGAACTTTTGACCTTTACAAAAACCTTTAATATCTCAAAAACTATAACAGATAGGACAGCAATTTTTGCGGCACAAACTAGCACAAACGTAGCACGTAAATCTTTAATATCTCATAAAGTAAAAGAGATAGAACACTGATTTTTGTGGCACAGACGAGCACAAACGCAGCACTAACGAACGAGCCCGGTTTCACACCTGAATGCCTTTGAAGGGGGGCTGGCTGAACTTTTGGTGACCAGCATAAATAATCAATAATATCTCAAAAACTATAAAAGATAGAACGACAATTTTTGCAGCACAAACGAGCACAAACACAGCACTAACGAACGAGCATGGTTTCACATCTGAACGCCTTTGTAGGGGGGCTGGTTGAACTTTTAACCTTTACAAAAACCTTTAATATCTCAAAAACTATAACAGATAGGACAGCGATTTTTGTGGCACAAACGAGCACAAATGCAGCACTAACGAATGAGCCCGGTTTCACGTCCGAACACCTTTGTAGAGGGGCTGGTTGAACTTTTAATCTTTACAAAAAACCTTTAATATCTCAAAAAGTAAAAGAGATAGAACACTGATTTTTATCACTGAGTGCATTGCAGTTACAAAACATGTACGTAGTTTTACGCAACACGTCAACACTAAAATTCCACGTCGATGGATTTTTATAATCGACATCGTCGATTACGTCGAATAATCATCCCATCCCTAAAATATTCCTGTAGCGCTTTCAAGAGGGCAGGGGGGTAAACAGGTGGTGACAGGTGTGTTGGATCACTGGAGATGGAGGTTGGTCTCTGGAGGCATTGAGTGCCATGGGTGTCCTCCAGAGTCGGCAGTTGGGTCCCAGTGATGCTCTGTGCTGCCTTGATGACCCGCTGCTATCCAAATTCTCTTCGGATGTGACTGCAGCTAAAACTGCCTTTTATAAGGAAAAACTAGAGCTATCCTCACATGATCCCCGTAAACTCCATAATATCTTTTCATCACTACTCAACCCTCCAACTCCTCCTGCTCCATCCTCCCTGACTGCTGAAGACTTTGCCACCTTCTTTGACGAAAGGATTGGCGAAATCTGCCAGACATTCTCTCCCTCCCCATCCACTACACTACACACCCAGGATTTCCCTTCCCCCTTACTGACCCAGTTTTCCAGTCTTACGGCTGATGAGATCATGAAATTCATCTCATCTTCCAAACTTACCACATGCCCGCTGGATCAAATCCCTTCCACATTGCTCAAGACAATCTCTCTGGACCTTCTCCCCTTCA